GAAACTGCATGCAGCACCCTTTACAGGAAAAATAACCTTCCACAGGAGTGCTTGGAATCGACTGAGAAACCGATTGCCTGTTAAATGTAGAAGGTGACACTGAATTAACATTCCTGGCTCATTTCTTCACAATGTCAGACAAGGAGGAACTATTTTTGTTATCTCTGCGTGATCCCTGTTCCCTTGTCCCACTCTCCTCCAGGCTTGCTGAGTCCGCACTTGTTGTAACGTCTCTTGCTCCCTTTCATTCTACACAGCTGCAAAGAAAGACACCATCTGGCAGCATTACACCAGGAGGGAACTTATTGTAGCAGCCACGACAAATGCTTTTTTATGTGGTGAATGAGTTATTAATTGTTACAATTGTCGATGACAAGTCTTGGAGATAAAACACCCCACTGCAATTATTCCATCATTGTACTGCGCTCTGAGGAACTGTTTACTAACCTGGTGTGTGACACATGTGCTGTGCTTCATTTGTTTTATTGCTGTTAGAACATTTGAATGGAAGCCAATGCACTGCAAGACAATGCTCGTGTTTCCTGCTTTTCAGAGCATTTTATGTACTACCTATCAATGCCTCTACTTCTCTCCTTGCTCAAATCTAAACTTGTTACACTGGCTCCCTGTTTTAACTCATTCTTTTCCTGGATCTTAACACTGTCAGATTTTTGACCTCATGAGTTTTCCTTTGAGCAATTTAAAACCCAAGGTCAGATTTTGACTTACCCTGTAGTTTTGAGGAACTGCCTCATATTTGGTTCCCTCAGCACTGAGCTCTGTAATTTGCTCTCTAAACCTCACCACATCGTTCTCCTTCTTGATGCTCTCCATAAAATCTACCTCTTCAGCTAGGAATTTGGTTAGCTAACCTGTTTCCTCTATTTGTGTCTTGGTATCATGTTTATAAAATGCTTTTTGATGCTTTTTTTCCCATTAAAGACACTATATAGCAGCATTTTGGCAGTCCCTGTAGATGGCTACTGAAATTAAATTAAATAAAATTAAATGAAATTATTCTAAATTCTCCAATCACTTTGCAGTTTTCCCTGTACCCAGCACCATTTTGCATTTCTTAATTTGAAAAAACGAACTGAAGGATTCTGAATATCATGTTCAATACCCTTGCCAAGGGAAAACTGCAACATTCCTGACAGTCATGTAAAACCCCTCCCAGCTCAGCTGTTTGATTTATGATGTTACCCTGAACTGTAAAAGGGTGAGGGAAAGTGGAGTCGGGGAAAGGAAGAAATTAAGCCAAAATAATTCCCTCCATTAACATCCAATGGCCTTCTTCTGAACAGTTTTCACAGGGATATTGAGAGAGAACAGAATTAGGATTGCAGAAGATATCCAGCTGCCCAGCTTCCCACACCACCCTCCTACTCTGTGTCACCAAGGATCCAAAATCCTATCATAGTCACTGTTAAAGCTCATAATTGATCACTTGAGACATATCTTTCTTTAATACAATGCTCTCAGGATATGAAAGAATGGAGGCAAGTTTAGAAGTCAAGAATTAGTAATTCAACAAGAAAATGTTTACTTGAGAGCTGTATCAAGATTTGTAGGTTTAACCTATGTTTATCTACCTTCTTTGGACGATGAATTTACCACAGAACAATAAACATGCAGGTAATTAGAAGGAGTAGGCCTTATTCACTCACATGACCCTCTCCTTCCCTAGACTTATGTGGATATATCCAGTAAATCTTAATGTTCAATGGTTAAATGCTCCCTCATTGATCCATTAGGTGTGATTATGTCAGCTCAGGGTCTTCTCACCACAGGAATACTCTGGATCAAGAAACAGGAAAACAATGGAAAGTTAAAATTGCTAGAAAGCAAAGAATGACGCATTCTGAAAGTTGTGGAAGACAGTAGTGTTCCCACATGATGTGGCAACTGTTGGTAGGCACAGATATATGAATGTGATTGCATTGTCATACCATGAGTCTTAATTTTGTTAAGTTATAGGCAAAATGGAGAGGAAGAACAACAATGGAGAAGCAATTAGAAATGTTGGAATGTTGGGGGACCAAAAATAGGGAAAAAAATCAGCTATGGCTATTTTGGGTAACTGTGAACACCTGGTTATAAATCTGTAGCGGATTTGTAAAATTTAGATAGAAGCTCTTTCGGGTCATCATGGCCAAAAGGTTTTATCTGGTCAGGTTTAAACAGCTTTGTCTGATTCAGGAACATAGGAGCAACAGTATGCCTTTGCCACAGATACGTCTTTTCAAGTAATCTATTAACATTTCTTTGTAATTTTAAGTTTCTACTTGCACTGGTTGCAGTACAAAATGCATCTGCATGCCGTCAGCAAATTTGAATACGTGGCTACCTATTCCATCATATATGTCCTTATTAAATACAGTGAATAGTTGTGGCCCCAACCCAGATGCTTCTAGGGCACCACTAGATACATTCTAACAATTAGTGTACTTGCCCATTGTCTCTACTTTCTGTCTCCCAATACAAGGACAAATCAATAATATGTCTTCAATTCTACAAGGTTTAACTTTAAGTGACTCATATGGAGATCTTTTATCAGATGCATTTTTGAAGCCCATATAAATAGCATGGATAGATATACCTTTGTTAACGTCTCTGGTCACCTGTCCAAAACATCAATTGTATTCATCAGACGTGTTCTTGCCTTTATGAGTTCATGGCGGCCATATCTGATCAGCTAAAAATGGTCAAGGTGTTCACTCTAAGCCTAAGTATAGACTCCAGTAATTTCACAACACTGATGTTAGTATCTGGTGTATATTTCCCTCATATTGGTAAAAGTTATAAAAAGAAAGTACGAGAAGAAATCTACAAAGGATATCAAAATCAGCACAAAAAAATCTATGGTATAAAAAAGCAGGTGGTCAGTAGCATTGTGGACCCACTTGAAAAATACTTGATAATTCCCTCATATCTTTCTGAAATAACATACACAGTTTTCCAGTTTAAAGGAAAATAGTTCCTGAAGCAAGAAAACTTTGGAAAATTATTGTTAGGTTGACTGCAATGTTCTAACTTTCTTCGAACCTCTGGGGTAGAATCCTTCCTGGTCTTGAGAATTTGTCACTCTTCAGCATTGTTATTTTCTTCATTCTGTTATTTTGCTTACATTAATGTTGGTGAGTCATTGCCTTGATTCATTATTAGCTGACCATTTTCTCTACAAAAAATTTTGATTTTAATGATTTAACATGTCCTCCATTTCCTTATTTTCATCGAAGTCAGAATTATCAAGTATTTTTCAAGTGGGTCCACAATGCTACTGACCACCTGCTTTTTTATACCATAGATTTTTTTTGCTGATTTTGATATCCTTTGTAGATTTCTTCTCGTACTTTCTTTTTATAACTTTTACCAACTGTTTTCCCAGGCTTTGCTGTTCTCTGTATTTTTCAGCATTTATTAATAATCCATACACATTTCCTATTGCTGTTAGCAAAAAGAAGCCACATTGTACTCCAGTTGCTTGTGTTACCTATTTAAAATAAATAAATTGGAAACGTCTTGCTTGCAAATTTCATCTTTCTTGGTGCAATGTGAATGGATTCTGTATTACATAAGTGTCTGGCACTGAACTGGAATGGATTCAGTGTTATCTGATTTTAATTCATCTCAGTGTCTGTTATCATAGTGTTCAAAACTTTGAACAAATGAGTCATTAGTTCTTGAATAATAACAGTGCTGCATTTTTTTTTGAACCACATGGCTGTTTTGTTTGCTTCAGTGAAAGGCTTGTCTAAGAGGGAAGGGCAAAAGGAAACTGTTGTAGGTCACCTAAGGGTCTAGGCCCGAAACGTCAGCCTTCCTGCTCCTATGATGCTGCTTGGCCTGCTGTGGTCATCCAGCTCTACACCTTGTTGTCTCGGATTTTCCAGCATCTGCAGTTCCTACTATCTCAGGTCACCTACTCTGATGTGATTGATGAGGCAGCTATGTATATGCATGTCCAAGTAGTGGGTTTGGGAGATGAGAACAAGACTGACTACTGCTGTACTATGCCCTAAAATCAAATTACCTGAAGCAGTAATTGTCTAGATTTGGACGTGAAGAATTAACACTTGGGGTAGAGGGGGAGTTCAACAAACCACAGCTCAGTTATAGCCATTCTTCACAGTATGCCATTGGCTGTAAAATATTTTTATAGCATCCCGTGGCTGGGAAAGACAGTACAGAAATACAAGTATTGTTTTCCTTTATTTAATTCTTTTTATTTCATTTTTAGTTTCTCTCTAACTTCCTCTGTTTCTTTGTATTTGTACTTTCTATCTCTTTCTCTCTGTCTCTTTTGCTCTCTTTCCTTTGCTCCATTTGCAGTTGAAAATTTCATTGTCGTTGAGAAAGCCTATTACTTGGACCAATGAGACAGAAAGAGAATGTGACAGAAGAAACCACTCAGTGCATTTCTTTCACCAGTCCAGTTTTATCCAATGATCAGGGCCAGTTGTCAGACATTCACTGGAAACCAAACAGACTATTCTGTAAAATCTGCAATTAAAACCTGATACAAACAGGCAAAAAAATCCAGAAACATCATTGCAAATATAGAAATTTATCTGTACAGAACTGCAGGGGTAAAGGGGGAGATTTACTGGTAAATATTACTGTACAATGCAAGGTGTGAGCGGTGTGTGAGCTACAATTACACAGCACAGTCCAGTCACGGTGTACATTGTACAACGAACAATGCCCCATGTACACTACAGTGAGTCACAGTCACAGGACAGAGTCATGCGATAAATAACATCCAATATTCCAAGGCATTGGATTTCCTTTTTATTATATATCATATATATATGCATATATATATTATATATATGTATATATATATAGTGAGAGAGAAAAAGGGAAATCCTTTACACAGGTTTCAGAGTTCAGTTTCAAGAATTCTTAGTGCATTCAGTTCTTTTTAAGAAGTTGATATAATTAGGTAAAAACAGATATTTTAATTTTTTTGGTCCAATTTAGTCTTGATGAATGAGGAGTCAAGATTTGTGCTGGCTGGAAACTCCTTTCCAGTAATCTAGAATATCATGCAAGTCCTCATCTGTTGCAAATTGCACTTTCTTCCTCAGCGCATACCCTGCAGCGAGGTATTCATCTTTCCTGTGCCACTTCTCATGAGGTTTGTATCGCTCCCAGACCCCCTTAGAGGGTTTGCTGGAGTATTCTGGGCTGGAGGCATAGCTGACGCTGTGGTACTGGGGGGAGAACTGAGTGTAGGCCAAATTTCTCTTGGATCGAGATCGCGGGAGGGCTTCAAGGACACATGGGCTTGGACTCCTCATCTGCTTTCGCTCTCCATGATGCAAGCCGGCATAAAGGTGCGAGTGATCACTGTAGGGCTGCATTTGCGCCGTTTCTGATCTCACAATTCGACATGGGGTTCCGCTCAGGATGGCACTGCGTGTTGGAGAGGTCCTTTCAATGTATTTCGCCTCTGATTTGTACCTGGGGCCAGCATAAATCTCAGAACGCACTGATCGAGGGCTGCGCACGGAGCAGTTGGAAGAGATGCTGGGACATTTGGTTGCTGCGTCCATACTGCTGTGTCTCTTTAGTGGGTGGTAGCTTTCCCGGTAAATAGGGGACAGGAACCCTGATTTGCTCTGGGACTGTTCAGAAACCAAAAAGTCCTGGGGTTCCACTGGTGCCAAGGTCCTAGCACTGGGACCTCTGAAGGAACTGGACTCTGTCTGCAGAGCATCAATGCAATTATTGATGATCAGGTTCACTTGATCCACTTCTTTTGCTATGGTTGATATTTCAGCAGCAGAGTCCTGACTCTCTCCAAACATACTCTCCAGAATGTCTCTGTGATATTGATGTTCACCTGACCTCACATCCATATAGTTTCCTCGACTGAGCTTTGGACTTTCAATCACCTCCCGGAGATTGTACTCTTCCAGATCCCCTGCTGAAGGCAGGAAAGGCATCCTGGATGACATCATGTCGGAGGGTGGGACTGGCTTCTGTGCCATTTGGGTGATGGTGATGGTCTCCAACTCTGGGGCGTATTTCAGCTCAATGATTGTCTTCTTTGCGTTTCCCGATTTCTTGTTCTTTACTTGTTCCTCTTTTTTTTTACGCAGACAGTAATAGATGACACCCAAGATGATAACTACCCCGAAGAGGCAACCGAGAATGGTCATGATGTAATGAGTGGTATTGGAAGTGGCTGGCAATGGCTTTGCTTTGGCCTTAGCCCTTGTAGAAAAGGTGACACAAGTTTGATTGTATCTCAGTGAATTTTGAATGGAAGTCACGCAATATGTGTAATTTGTATGGGGAATTAATTCTTCAATTTTAATTTCCTCCTTTTCTGTGGCTAGGTTCTTTATGTCTGTATACATGCTGTTGTTATATTGTACCAGAATGTTTTCTTTCCTATTAGGGAGTGGAATATGGACCAGAAGGGTTGCTGTTGTGTAGGTGATCTCTTTTAATTTTATTATTGGTGTATCGTCGACATTCATGATGGGGGTCTGGAAGGATATTAATGGTGTAGACTCTTCACCTGATGGACAATCTTCAGCTTCACAGGGACTTTCTGGGACAGTAGTAGTTGAGGGTTTCTGTGTGAAGATAAACCTGGGATCAACAGTGTCAAGGTCTTCATTGCACATTGAAGCGAGTACACTCAAGGCATCCTTGGAACTGGCCTGGCCCTGGTTCAGTAAAAGATACCCAGCAAAATCTGAAGGAGATGTACATTGCGTTCGATCATAACTCCTGGTGGTGTTGTTGAACTGAACCAGCCATTTCAGGAGGCCCAGCAGATCACAGGAGCAATAAAATGGATTGCCATAGAGTTCACAAGTGGTGAGTTTGCCGAGACCCAGGAAGGTGGAACTTTCCAAGGTTTGCAACCGGTTCATGGACAGGTCGATGTTCATTACATTGGGACATTCCCAAAAGGAATTGGGGCTCACCACCTCAATAAGATTGGCCTGGAGATAGAGATATTCGAGCCTGCCCAGCCCCCGCAGGATTCCCTCAGTGATGTTCCGAAGTTTATTGAATCCCAGTTGCAGAACACGCAAGTTGTACTGGGCTGAGAAGGCTCCATCCTCAATGTAAGAAATCTGATTCTTGGTCAGATTGAGTTCCGTCAGGTTACCAAACCTATTGAGTGAGGAATACTGGACGCTTTTGATCTTGTTCTCATTCAGCCGGAGGTCCACTATGGTATTGTTGATGTGCTGAGGAATGGATTCGTATGGTGGTTGGTTTTGGCTACAAATGGCCAGCCACACAAATCCTTTCTCCCCTTCAATGAGCCAGCAGTCAGCATAAACTCCAGCAGCATTCATCAACGAGGCTAATGAGACCCAGAGAATGAAACTGTGCAGAGCCATCCCCTTGTGCTCGAGGGGTTTGTGAGCGAAAAGCTTTCAACAGCACTCACCTGCTCAATAAATGATGCTGAATTGTTCTGTGGGTCTAAAATCAAAACTGTCCTTGAAACTCTAGCTATTAAAGCGAGGTGCTGTAACTTGCTTGTCTGTATAATTCATGATATGTCCCTACTCCAGTTTTCTTTATGTTAGCTTCTCATTTGATTCCTTTGTACTTCCAGAACATTTCAATAGATGGTTTCATCTGCTTTTCTGGAAAATAAGAAAAGAGAAAAATGCAGTGAAGATGATCTGAAATTGTTTTAAATCAGGTTACTTTCCTACTTTAGACGTCTTGCCGAGAAAACCAATCCTTAACTAGGCTGCTTGTGCCTCAGCCCATTCTATTTTGTTACCATGTGCATTTGCTACTCCCTTTATTTTTCAATACTACCTGCCTGAATGTTGGGATAAAAGATTAGCCTTAATGAGGAATTATGATAGGGTTATTAAGCAGAAGCTGTTTCTAATGGCAAAGCAGTCAGTGACCAGAGGATAAAGATGTAAGGTAATGGGCAAAATAGGCAGAGGAGACTGATAAAAATTTTCTTTTTATGTGGCAAGTTGTTATGATCCAGAATTACACTGCTTGAGTGGGTGGTCAAATCAGATTCAACAACTTTCAAAAGGAAATTTGATGAATTAAAAAGATTATGGGGAAAGAGGCGTGGAATTGGACTAATTGGATAGCTGTCTCAAACAGCCTGATACTCTATGGCCCAAATGGCTCTCTCACATCAGCTTGGAATCAGTTTTAAAGTCTAGGCCAAGTAAGAGTGATGATGGCTCCTTTCTCTGATGGGGCACTGGAACTGTTAAGCCTTGTGTGCTATTGTTCTTTGCAAAGTGTGAAATTGCTCCCATTATTATCTGTCATATGTTCTTCATGAGTTCTTCATCATTGAGTCACATTTGATGGATTCATACTACACAGATGGGATCAGTGAAGGCTGCAGGCTGACAAGTCAGAGAATCAACAGTATAGAAGGTATTCAGCCACAGCTCTTTGAAAGAGCTGTCCAATTAGTCTCACTCTCTTGCCCCTTTTCCCTAAAACTTCTTTAAAAATAAACCCTTTACAAAGTAACTAATGGATCTGCTTCCCTTACCCTTTCAGCAGATAACAGGTTGCTGCACATAAAATAAAACCCTTATCTTCCTCTTGGCTCTTACCTTACACTTCCATTTCCTTGTTAACAACCAATCCACTCTACATAATAATACATGGACTGTCCAGTTGCAGACAACATGTATCTGAGTCTCAGTTTAATCACCAGTTTAATTCCCAGCTTTTTATGACTGTGTGCTGTGTACAGTTGTGACAGGGCCCCTTGAATTACTCAGTGGAAATATCAGAGGCCAAGTTGCACTGCTGGAATTATAATCCCACACAAATTACAACTACAGGACTGGAAGATGGGAGGTTGGGCAAAAATCACTTACCCACTCCACTGTTTATGGACTAGTTGGTGTCTACGGAATGCAAAGCCTTGAAGGGATTTTTAAAACAGGATAAGTATTTTAAATTTGCAGCACTGCTGGACCTAGAGCCAACAGAGGTCAGCAAGCACAGATTGATAGGAAAATGGGACTTGGCGTGAGTTGATATTTTTGGAGAAGTTTAAGTTTATGTGGGGTTAACCTTGACAGAGTTAAAATAGTGAAATGTAGAGTTAACAGAGGAATGGATGAATGGTTCAGTAGCAGATAAACTGAGGCAGAACTGGAAATGGGAGATATTAGGTATAGGAAAGTACACAGTATAGGAAAACCTCCTGCATGTTGTCTTCATTCGGATGCAATAGAACTCAGGTTGATGGCTATTAAAGAAGCTTTGAGCTACAGAACGTTGTTATATTGATCTGCTCTTTAACATTTCCATATAATTAAATCAACTTGATGCTGTCTCTCAGAAACATTTCAAAGTGTTTCAAATATAGTGAATCACATGATACCATGTCCACTCAGGTTAACATGAGCATTTTATTGAATAGAGGCACCAGCTCCAACAGCGCAGGACTCTCAGTTAAGTGCTGAACTGACTGTATGGATCATACGCTCAATTTCCAGAGAGAGATTTGGAACTTTACGGAATTTAAGGGGGAGAAATTGGTTCAGTAATTCTGGGTAAGAAGAGGGGAGGAAATCATTTGTTACGAATATTGCTGCTGATGGATAATGCATATGGGGATTTGAGTACAGGCAAGACTTACTGTCAAATCTAGGTAGATTGCTGCCAATCCAAGTCCAATATAAAGAGTAGACACTCATGTAAGGTATTACAGGTTTGCATTGTACTTATAGGTTATAACCAACTTATAGGTGAGCACATTAGGAGCAAGGAAAATAATGCGTGTGCAGATTTCAACACGTTTGTAAAATGTTGGGTGAATATGATGATTGCTAATTTTTAGATATAAATACAGCCATGGCTTTAGTTTAATTTGCAGTCATTGATGCATCCATGCAACATACCATTGCAATGTGCAAATGAAGAATATAATGAGATGTACCACTGAACCAGTTATAATTCTCCGGTTGGTGTAGACCCTGAGAGATGCACTGCTGCCCCCATGAGAATCTACTCTTTACAAGCATCATCTGGGTTTGAGAAGCAACAATTGGCTTCCAGCATCTGGGTCTGCAGGGATATATCCTGTCAATTTTTAAATTTTTGATATGGTAAGAAATGCAGATCAAGTATTAACTCTCCAGTACAGGCCACTCCTGAAATTGAAGAGATGAGCTAACTCAGAAAGGTTCGCAGTAGTATCTGGCTTGTGAGGAAGAAAGTAAAAATTGGCTTTTATATTCATGGTATTGGAACTCCCCAAAACTTTTTACAGATAGCAAAGCAACTGTTGCAGTGGGTGAAACATAGCAGCCACTTTACACATAGTAAAGTCCCACAAATAACACTGAGCTTATTAACCAGGTCATTTGCTTTAGTGATGAGCATTCGTCAGTGCCTTGAGGAGAAATCCTTTGCTTTCCTTTAACCAGCATCGTAGTTCCTTTCAAATGCACATGAGGGGGTAGCAGGGGTAAAGGTGGTGGCATCTCTGAAGCAGAAATTCACTGGATTTATCACCTTGAGTATATGGTGAAGTATCCAGAGTGGACCTTGTCCTATGTCTTTCTGAAAGGTTAGTGAGTGACCCATTGAGACAAGGCAGACACTAGACAAAGGAAAAGAAAGGAGTGTAACAGTTTTGCAGTAAGATGAGTTGCAGTAAGAGATCGAGCATTGTGCCCTTGCTGCTTCAGAACAGGGATTTAGGGAGGACATAAAGCGTAAAATTTGGAGTTTAGTTGAATAAAATTGAAGAAAAGACAAGAAATTATGTTGAGAATCACAATTACCTTGTAAAACAAAGGGGAGAGAAAGGGGCCAGTTAAAAAACAGACAATGAGTTTGTATCCTGGTCAAAATCGTACGTACAAAAAGCAACCATTACTTTCATTAGTAGGAAGGTCAATAATCAGTAGACACAGATTTAAGATAATTGCTGAAAGAATCAGAGAAGGAATGAAAAGAAAGATTTTCGTATGCAGTCGCGTGATTATGAACTGGAATGTACTACCACGGGGTGGCGTCAGCAGTTTAAACCATACCTTTCAAAAAGGAACAGGGTAAGTACTAGGAGGGAAAAGAATTGCAGCGCTATCAGGAAAGAGCAGGCTGGGCAGATTAGCCTCCTTCTTATTTGTATGCTTCTATGAATGAGTCTTCTTTATAAAATGTGTCTGCATAATCAATGTCCAAGGAGAGATGTAGAGCGTAGAGCATAGAACATAGAACATAGAACATAGAACATAGAACATAGAACATAG